AATAACACCCCCTTTCCCCATCCCTGTGTTGTTTTTTTTTTTTTTTTTTTTTTTTTGTTTTTTTTTTGGGAGTAGGGGGGTGGGTCAAATGACTTTTATGCAGAAGGTTAACACTAATGTTCTCCATAAGTATAAGGTGTTGGAAAATGATTTTTTTCCAATAAGCTGATATTCCAAGATGTGTCGTAACTATGTGGGGAAAACTGAAAAATGTACAAGTGAGCATTTTCACTTTAAGCTGAATGTACACTATATCTTGGGCATTTAGTCCACTTTCCAGCTTATTGGCATAAGATGCACATGTAAACAGGAGTTGTATAAGCCAGATTTCCTGTACATTACAAATCTTTAGATGGAAAAATGTACATTAAATATGAACAGTTTAAGGACAAATCTTAATTTAGCCTAGAATCCTGTAAATTAGGAATTCAGCGCTTTAGGTCTCCAGCAGGGCCAAACTCAAATTGTGGCAGATTAATTATTTTTCAAATAAATCAGTGCCATCTTTTGAGTGCCACAAAGCCATGGCATTTGCCACAAAATCAGACGGATAACTCAAAATATGCAACTTATTTATTCTAAATTAACTTATTCAATCTGCCACCGGCCTTTACTATACTGTGGCAGCTGACGTCACCGGAAGTTCCACGATTTGAGCTTGCTACGTCACTGGACCAATCAAAGTGGAGTTGAGGCTCTTCGAGGCGGATTCTTAAAATTGAATTTCGGTAAGCTTAATAGTATACGGAAGCAGGTTTTTCCTGGACAAAAAGTAAGGTGGATGAACTTTATTTTAACAAGCTGCTGTTTAGGAACTCACAGTTCAGTTTCCACCGCTAATAAGCTGCTAATAATAGCTGGTAAGCTAACTAGCTTACCAGCTATTTTGAGGCGGTGACGTACTCAGGATGAGTTACCTTATGGCAACGATGGAAACATAACTGTTCTGAATTTAATTTTGATTCAGTAACAGTTTATATAAATGACTCAACCTTAACTGCTGGATGTTTTTAAAAATACATTAATGTAGGATAGCCAGGGCCGGATGTAGGAGACCGTGGACCGCTGGGCTGGAGCTACATTTGGTTACCTCCCCACAGAAGCTCCTCTTGTTACCCCGGTAAATTGCAATATACTTATTTTGTAAACACACAGATTATAAGTTCTAGGCTTTGTTGTTAAGTTAGTTTTTCCCCAAGCAATCTGTTCTTTCAAAAAAGTTTGTCATTTATAAAGAGAATAATTTCTGCAAATACATTCACAAGAAATATATTTGTTTGCAATCATCCATCACACAAATGACGTGCATAGAAGTCAGTAGCTCCTGTTATGTCATTGTAATGTGAGCTTGTCATATTATCATCCAACAGCTACATACTGATTATGTTCTGAAAAAAAACTACAAATTTAAAAATGTCTCAAGTTTTCTTTGTAAACATATAAAGTACTATGGTGCTTGATTAAAAAAATACTTTGGGACTCTCAGATGGACAGTAGTTTTTCTTTAATAAAAAAAAAAAAGAAAAGTCATCTTAGAAGGTATTATCAAACCTAGCCTTTAGCATTTTACTAATCTTTTTTTAAATAGATTTTAATTAGTGGTGATGTTTTGCTTCAGAGACTTGTTTCATTAGATTTAGTGGCCTAGAAAAATAAAATGTGTGTATAACAGGTGCTTGAAGCTGGTTCACCTATTTAGGAAATATTTCAGCATGGTGATAACTTGATAACCTTTATTTCAAACCAGTAAAATGTCTGAGAAAAAAAAATGAATAAGAAAACAAGAACACACAGAAACATATATTCCAATTTTTGTTGCTGCCTGTTTATTGGAACAGGATTTCAATTATTTAATCAACATTTTTAGTTTTTTTTTGGATAAAATGTTGAATCTCTTGACAACACATAGAGCCAGTAGACTTAACTACAACCAACATTTCTTATATATTTTTATATATATGTAAAAAACCAAGGCCTTTGCCTTGCTTAATAATACACTCTCCATCCAGGCTGACTGAGCTTGAACTATTGCGCAAAGAATGGTAGAAAAAAGGTTGTGTCTGTAGATTTTGAAGCTCGTAGAGACCTTCAAAGAGAGGTTTGCAGGGGTTTTTGCAGAAAAATGTAGTTCAACAAAACACTACACTTTTAAATAAAGTACAGAAAGTCATCTACTGTCTTCTCTTTGCTTATTGTTTTGCACTATGTTGCGTTTATCTGTTTCACTAAACCCAGTATAGTTACATTGAAGCTTGTGGTTTTAACGTCACAAAACGTGAACGAGTTTCGCCTGGCGACAATATCTGTTCTTGATCTAGGAGACGCTAAAAGTCAAAGATGGACTGGTTCCACTGCAACCACTGCTTCAAGAAAAGCGGGTTGAATTTCGCTGTGTCGAGCTGCGGCCACATCTCCTGCGAAGCTTGCATTAAATCAAGTGAGGATTTCGTTAATTTCATCCAACACGGCTTTCAACAGATTGAGTTCATTATTATTTTTTGATGTCTGCTGGGTTTGTTAAATTCATCAGAGCAGTGCAGTACGTGCGGGGTGGCCTGCAGTTATCTGCCCATCACCGATCAGGTTGGTGAGTTTGACATAGATTCATTGCAGGTTATGATTGGACATCATCTCAACTCACAATGGAAGATGTTTTTTTTTTTTTTTTTTTTTTTTTTAAAATGAAGCCACAGGAAAAGGTGTTTTTCATGGACCCTGGAAAGCTCATCCAGGCAAGGATGGAAAACATATCGCAGGTCTGTCCTATTTGTGCGTCCTCTCTGATGTCTTGGAGACGCTTTCATTGGTCACTGAGGAGTTCTCACACTCCACAGATTGCCATTTTCCAGCAGAAGCAGATGGAGAGAGTCATGGTTCACTTTAAGACCAAATCCGCTGAACTGGAGAGGCTTCTGGAAGAGGTTTCTCAACAGGGTCACAGGTGGTTTTCACGTTGCTGCACGGTAGCTGTGCAAAGTCAAATCAAATAAAATAAAGCAAAAGTTGAGACTGTGACTCTTATTTCCTCCTGCTGCTCTTATCACAAGGCAACTGTCAGAGCTGAAGAGAGAGAACGGTGAGCTGAAGAAGCAGCTGTTGGAGCTGCAAAGAGAGAACGGAGAGTTGAAGAAGCAGCTGTTGGAGCTGCAAAGAGAAACCGCTGAATTGAAAAAGCCACTCTCTCAAAGGAGGGCAAGTGCTTAAAAAAAAAAATTCCTTTCCACATGTTGAATTTTTAAACACTTAACTTCCTTCTCTTGTGCCACAGGTTTCTCCTGGACAGTTCCAAACTACTGGGTAAGCATCTCTTTGCGTTTATGATCACAAACTGAGTTGTTAGGCGTCAAAATCATTCTGTGACGTTTTCTGAACCGCAGCGCTCAGAGGGTTTCGCTCCCGGTTGGCGTTACCTCACCAGGTAAACCCAGTGGTTGAAGCTCAGGACATGTTCAGGGTTGGTGTCGGTTTCGGTTTTTTAACGACTAAAATGGCGTGATGTCCGTTTTTATTAACAGTTACTCCTCGATCAAGAGCATTGAGGTAGGTTTTTTTTTTTATCTCATAATTGCTTATTGTACAGATGCATCTATTAAAATGAGAATATGATGATGATGAATGTCAATATGTTTTTGTCTCTGATTTCAGAAAGTGGAAATCGTGTTTTCTATAGATTTTATTACATAGAACTATCAATCAATATGGATAAATATTTATTAGCTTTTTTGTTTTAAATATCCAGAACACTACCACACTGGCGACATGACCAATCCTGTTTTATCCACAATTTCCTCGAGTTGTTTTACTGTTTTTTTCTCTTTTCCCTCCCTGTTGTTTTTTGTTTATGAAGTTATGAGACACGGTGGAAAAACCTTAAACCGCTGCTGTGCAAGTTACTTAATAGGTTGTTGCTAGGTAACCAAAATAATAAAAATGTAAATGTACAAAAAATATAGTCAAGCCTTTAATTCTTGTAATTTTGATGATTATGGCTCAAATATTATGAAAACCTGAAATTCAGTGTCTCCGAATATTTGAAGTATTGTGAAAAATCCAGTATTGGAAACTCCTGGTGTTACAATCTCAATCAACTAATTAACGCAAAACATCTGCAAAGGTTTCCCGAGCTTTTAAATAGCCTCTCAGTCTGTGTGAGTAGTGGACAAGAGAACTGTATTCAAACATATTCTCAGAAGGTTGAGTGGAAGGAGAAAGCGCGGTAGGAAACGGCGCACCACCAACATGGAGAACCGTAGCCATGGGAGGATTTATCAGGAAAAATGCATTCAAGAATTTGGGGAAGAAGTGGACTACAGCTGGAGTCAGAACATCAAGAGCCGCTACGCAAAGATGAATCATACAAATGGGCTGCGAGCGTCTTACGTAGGCCAAGGAGAAAAAGAGTCCTTGTTTTATATTTCTTATTCACCACAAAAGAAAATTGGGAATCTATCAACATGCAGACTTACAAGAAGATATCCACTGACAAAGAAATATACAAAATTGCACACTGATGGAAAAATGGCAGAAAGTTTTAATTTAAAAGGAGACCCAACTAAGTATTAATTGCAAAGAAACTTTTCACAAGCCTGACATTTCACAATGTAAGATAACTTTCTAAGAAACAGAATTTTTGGGTTTTCGCCATATGCAAGAGAGCATGAAAATGACGATTTGAAACATTTCATCCTATGTGTAATAAAGACATACAACAGTTTCACTTTCTGAAATGACAAAAAATATTGAACTAATTAACATATTACAATTTTTTGATTTGTACCTTTTAGAATGTCATTTATTTTAGTAATTCAATCCATTCTCTTTGGGGTTATTGAAGTGTTTTTGAATTTAATTTCAATAGTTACTAGTTAATTTTGATGATTATTGTTTGCTGGAAATAAATACTATGTAAAGGACCAATAGAGGCTATTTAACGTAGAGATATTACGTTATGGCCTTCACCGTCATGTGGTTTAGCAATCATCAATCTGTCCACTTTATTGTAGGAAATCTATTTTTACAAGGCTCCACAATATTCAAATTGTCTGAAAAATTGATTTTGGAGTTTTCATTAGCTGCAAGTCATAATCATTTACAAAAAAAAAAAAAAAAAAACCCAATAGGAATATGTCACTGTATGTCACATATAATACGATTTTCCTGTTTTTATTTAATGCAATGAAATAATTTCTCAGTGATGTTCAGATTTCCAGAGATGCAGTTGTAAAACACTTCAAAATGCTTTTTGCCTCAGTAATGTAGGCTCCGGAGAGACTCAGAGATGGAGCAGGGATAGAGGCATTTCTCTCACGGTAAGTCTGGATTTATTCCCCAAGTTTACAAACACTTGAACATGTTTAATCTTTGTTGCATAAAATATAAAAGGGTTTGATTCTACTTCCTCTTAATCAGACTCCGGGCTCCATTGCTTCCGCCTCCAGCCACAGCTCTCTCCATGAATTCAGTGAGTGTGACTGAAAATCGAATTAATTCAACACCGATCATACAAAGGTTGATTTTTTTTTTTTTAAATGATAAAACTTATCAGTCTTTTCCCGTTAAGGAACGTCACCATCCTTTGGCACTCCTACAAGGTAATTAGCAACTTCCTGGGATCTTTTGGCCTTGAAGCCTCAAGTCACAAGTGATTATCGGTAAGAATTTTTCCACCGTAGAAATGAGTCAGTCCGTTTGTGTCCTTCCCAGAACTCAGACCCCTGGCTTCCAGTTCCCATTTATGAATGGGATCTCACTACATTCACCCAGACAGTGAATAACTCGCCACGCTTGCTAGGAATGCCTTTGATGTGCATGACGCCCGTTTACGTGAGCCTGAACAACAATAGCATTTTACATCCTTAATCTTTGTAAAGGAAGGAGTATTCCCCAAATGTTGAAACACCTTGCCGTATTGTTCACCTGGATTAAAACCTCCATGTAAACTTTGGCTTGATTTTTTAATAGTCTACTTTCCTTTAACTGCACGTTGTAACCAATTATTCGTAAAAGTCATTTCCGTAGGACAGTTTCAGAACAAAATTTACACAGCAGGAAGTCGTCACAGGTGTCTGTATTCATAACACACACAAACAAATCTTTGTACACTTGATTATAATGGCAAAAACACTTAACTATTTTCCAGTGACACAATTGTGCAAATGAGATTCTTTTTTCAAACAGGAAAAAAAAAAAAACCTTGAAGACTTTACATGTATAGATTTACATCAACAGCATGACAGTTGCATTACCTTTTCATGAGCGACAGGAGGAAAAACTTTAGTCATACGCGCCACTTTGTCAAGTTTCTGGCTGACTGACCTTTGGACGAACATTTTCAAAGAGTTGAACTCCGTTTAAAGCCGACATCAATTTCTAAAGTCAATAGAAGTACTTAAATATTGTCAACTGTACGTGAACTTATGACCCCGATTATATTGCTCTGTCACTTTGTGTGAAATGTTACCAGTCTTTGGATTTTGGTTCATTTTTGCTTCTATTTCAAAACCCACCTTCTGCCCACATTTTAAACTATAAAATTACACCCTATGCCTATTAAATGCTAACTAACATCATCTAGTAATATAGCAATTCTGCCATCTATGCAATGATGTAATTCCCGCAACCTGGTTCAACCTTTACTGTTAGAAACATGCTGCAGAATGCAAATGATGAACAAGGCATTCAAATTGGTAAGTAAAACACCTCTATACAGAGTGACGAGCAATTTAGGAAATGTTCTGGAAATGCATTACACATATGAGATGTACCGTGCTGTTTTAAAACACGTTCTACAGCAGGGAGTAAAAATAATGACACTAATCAGGAGTATAAATTGTGAAATACTAGTATGTTATTAGCGTAGGGACAGCAGGTTGGAAAACCAAAGTGCAAGATGTTATAAGGAGCAAGTCCAGTGTGCTTTTCATGAATACAATATAACGGCTAGAAAGGAATGATCAGTCAATAGTTTGTCAGTGTAGCTGTTTTTTTTTCTGGATCTACAGCTAGTTACCTGATTATGTTATACTGCTACAAATAGAATACATTAGAAAAAAAACAACTGTAGTGATATCTAAACAAGGAGGTCAAAAATATAGCAACCCAGTGTAGAGGTTACTGTTCTATTTACAGCAACAGAGCCAGTAGAAATATAATTCAGATCTAAATATATTAGGATAAACAGGAAATGCAGCATATCTATATAAAAAAAATACACAAACCACACTTTGGGCTTGTTCAGGGAAGACTGGATTTTACAAACCTGCCTTAATTAAAGCAACATGAACCACAGCAATAATCACATCTGTTGTGTTAAAGGTGTGTGTGTGAGATAGGGTGGGCAGATCAAGGTTTTTTTTTTTTTTTTTTTATAGGAAAGGTCCTAAGCCACAACAATTTCTTCATCAGTTTCCCCAACCTCTTGAGCTGCAAACCAGTCTCGCACTTGCTGGTAGCTCATTCTTGATTTCTTGCATAGTAGGTCAAGGTCTTTTTCATTTAGTGTGCCTGTTGTAAGGTAATATGATACCAGTGGCTGGATATCGGGAGAATCTGTACTCGCTCTGCTTAGTTTTCGTTTGCGCCCTCCCCCGCCACGTGTTGAGGTTCCAGTGCCGTTCGACAGGCCGCTGCCACTTTGCTGGGCAGCAAGTTCTGCCAAGAACTGTTCGCGGACGCCCTTCACCCAGCGCAACTGGCCATTTTTGACGGCGTAGCGAGTGTCGCCAAACCACTGAATAACATCCGCCCTGGGTAAACCTGTGAGTTTGACGAGTTCGGTGTATTCCTCACTTGTGGGCCACTGGCACTTCAAAAAGTGCTGCTTTAACACATCCAACTGCTCCTTGGTCTTTCTGGGACGTCCTGCAGGAGTGAGTGCAGGGGACGTGGACGTGGAAGCGCCTGAGAAGCAAGAGGCTGTATGTGATGGACTGGCTTTAGTTGAGTGCACCGACTTCTTTGATGCACGGATTCTGTGTGAGTATGTTTTGGTCGGGGAGGCGGTAGGCGGTGGAGTACGAGAGGGGGAAGAGCAAGGAGAAGACTTTAACTCTACAACTTCTGGCTCAATCTTGCAGGTCTTGGTCAACTGTAACGGCTCTTCCGCAGTTTCTTGCTCCTCTTTGAAAGTATCTCCAGAAAGTTCTTCTACAACTTCATTCGCTTGTGGGTCGTGGAGCTTTTCCCCAAATGCTTCTAGACTGTTTGACAGAAAAGTCTGAAAGAAATGTGAATTTCTTATCCCGTTATTCCGGCTTCCCTCATGGCTTTTCACCCCGTTTACTTGACGAGATTTTTGGTTAGTAAGTGAAAGAGGCTGAGTTTGAGATTGTGGTTCATGTTTACTCCCAACAGAAGCCTGGTGAGAAAAGGTCTGGGCTGCTGCCAGGCTTCCACGACCCACTCTTAGCTGATAACGACTGTCACTGAACCATTTGCGAATGTCATTGCGGCTCAGACCCGTTTCTTCCTGCAAACGCTTGAGCTCAGGCTCTGCAGGCCAGTTCTCTCTTAGGAAGCTTTTGCGCAGGGCAGCGAGTTGAGCTTTTGACTTTTTGTAGCGCCCGTGTCGGTACTGTTGCGAAGAGGATTCTGAGAGGTCAGGGGAGACATCAGCTGTTGTGGTCGCTGGAGTGTCTGCTGGTGAGCGGTAGAAATATGAATCCTGAGGAGGTGGGAGACTGGACCTAAAACATGGAGGAGTAGATTTATGTGAATCTGGAGACTCACACTTTGCCATCTTTGTTTCAGGTACAAAACCAATGAGATCACACTCCTCCTCATCGCTGTCCTTTTCCTCGTCTAAGTTTTTGCTCTTGGTTTTTAAATTGGCTCCGTTTGTTTCAGTGGAGTCCTCACAAAGCTCAGGCACAGCCAACTTCCTCCTTGTCTCCTCTATCTCTTCAGAAGACCAGCTGATACCATATTTAATCCTCTGCACCATGAACCACACCTTAACTTTGTCCAGTGGCAACACACAGACCCGAGCCAGTGTGCTAACCTCTTTGGACGATGGGTATGGAAACAAGTTAAAGGCATTGACAAGTTCTGGGATTGAGTCAAGTTCTCGGGTCTGATCGGACTGGGTCCATACCAGTTTGAGCCCCTCTGAGACCAGAGGAAGGCACACTACAGAGTTATGGTTGGTGGTGAAACTAGCCACGCCACTGGCACTGCTTTCTGCTGAGCTGGGGGAGTGCCGCAACTTCTTGGAAGAGCGTTTGGTCTCTGCCTTTTCTTCACGCTCTGGCTCCGTCATATCCACTTCAAAAGGCTCATCTAGGTCCACAAGTCGTCTGTCTCTGCCGTTGCGTTCGGTATATGACGCCATGTCGGCTATCAAAATATGTTCCGCCATCTAGAAAGGAAAAACAAACAATGATAAAGTTGTTTTTGTTGGGGTTTTTTTGTTCACCTCTTCTTACAAACTGTCACTTCACAGATAAGATCACAGTACAGAGAAGGACAATCTGTTCAAGAAAATAAACTCTGTTCTGATTTCATTCTCAAAGCTAATTAGTGGAGAAATACACCCTTTTGCCTGTTCCCCTACTTATTCCAAACTCTCTACAAAACTAGTCGTATACTGTGTCAAGGCGCGCTCTCCCCTCCCCCCAAAGCGTGGTGAATGACTTTTGTTTTGCATGAGCTGAGGGGGATTGGTCCTAAAGGGGTGGGAGCACAGGGAATGAAAATCTACAAGGAATCCATCACTGTCTGCTTGCTCACCCTAGCTGGTCAGGCTTTTGTTTCACTTCCAAGTTTCTCAGTCCTGAGAGATGAGAGAGGCCTCTTCACAGGAAAAGATATGGCAACAGAAACCTGCAGAAGGAGGAGGATTCGTCAGACTCATGTCTATGCCCTGGTTCATGCTGAAACTAATGCGATCCAAAAATTTAATTAATAAAAAAAGATGTATGCATGTCCATTTTCTAATCCAGCAACAGGTGTTGTGCCATACTACAGTGACTGTTAAGAAGATCTATGTAAATAAAGGTTTAAATATCTTTGCACCACTTTTGATTCAGCAAGTACATAAATCTGGTGGCTAAAAGTTGATCCGAACTACTTCTCTTAACTTTTAATTTTATTTCAGGGGTTATTTATTCGGAACAAATAAGAGTATTGCGCATTTTGCTAGGCTAGGATACGCCACGGCTGACCTTAAGTAGCTGGGAACTGGGCTGAAATGTTTTTGAGTGGGACAAACATTAGGTCACAAACCATCGTGTTAGTCATTGGTGACACACTTAAATCCCAGAGGGTGAGAACAAGGGTTCTCTCCTCAGTTTCGACACTTTTCCGTAACACATGAAGATAGTTTATTCACGCTTTGTTTAATTGGGTTCGATAAAAAGCTGTGGAAGTTGACCACTATGCCAGCAACAATAGCGGTCCAGTCTGGCCCCCCTCTTTGTGGCGTACTAACTAAAACGCTTCACACTGCACAGGCGCACTTCGTCGTCAGACACGCTTCAGTGAAACATAAAAATAAACTTACCGAAATTGCCGAAATACCCCTTAATCCCCAGGGTCCGTTCTGGTGACACGTAAACCAGAAAAACTGAGCCTACTCCACACTACTAGAATATATATGACCGAAGTTGGAGGCACCAAGCGAGGAAACAATACCGTCCATCTATTTGGCTGACCCTTGTCTTATTTTTACCAAGCACCTCGACGGATTACGGTCGGGATTCAAAGATACGACGCAACCAAGTTTGTCCCCAGTCGTAGGAGTTCAATCGCTGGTTAATTCTCGGTCAGGGACACAAATATCCAACTCGGGAGATTAAAAGGCTGAATGTGAGTCGCCGTTTGTTCCTCCCCCTCGGTCGGTCCGTTGCTGCTTTTGTTCTTTAACTGTGAAGTGTTTCCCCCTGTCCGGCCAAACCAACGCGAGGCGGAGCTGAGGACCAGGAAGCCCGGAAGGCCCACATGACTCTCCCCCTCGCTGACGGCTGGGTGGGTGTGCCAGTCTGGGTGAACAGGCCGTGGATTGGAGGGAGAACGGGCCAGTATAATAAATCCGCTACAGAGATCCAATACCAACTACCCCGCTGCAACCTATGGTGGCATCAGAGAGACGGGATGACGCTGAGAATCATCTTTTAAACTGAACGGTTCTTTTTGAGCCAGTTTTGTGTTGTATTGGGGAAGTCTTCTGATGGTTGAATCCATCTTGAACAGTCCTATGACAAGTATTTGCCCTCTTTACAGATTTCTTTATATTAACATTTTTGTTATATGATTAAGATAAAAAAAAATATAAGACTGAGAAAACATTGGTGAACACTACAATTGGTTTACTTAAGATTATTTTATCTATTAAAGGGAAAAAACTGATCCTATGTGAAGTTATACTCTTCCCAAATTGTTAAATCATGATTTCACTAATTTCCCACAACAGTCCTATACTTTTTTTTTTTTTTACAATTCATATAACACATTGTAACACTTTATTTTACTACAAACAGATTAAACACCTACACAGATATATTATTAAGAAATATCTGTCTACAGGGAGAAATGTTTTAACAGACAATAGCAATCAAACGTCACTTAAATGTTTGATTGCCAAACAGTAATTAATCCAGTCTCCCATCCTGCATATGTTATATATCTTCAACTAGCTGCTTTATGTAGTAGTAAAAAAAATCTGGCCTACTCTTTATGAACTCTATGTATATTTTTTTTTCCAGAAATGAGTGGGACAAATAAACAGCAAGAGATTTAAAAAAATTCTTTGTTGAATTGTATTTTAGTTGGAAAAATACATTAGCTGTTTAGGCAAGTAGAAAACAAGCTGAAATTTCAGAATGCCAACTGGTTTCTTATTGTAGTCCTATTTTTAACCAGTAAGACATAACGAACATGAGATGACACTCCTTCACCGATAAGGGGCGACGCTGTTCATTCTGGCTTATCTACAGCCGTACATCCACCTCAATGTCCCCTCAGGGAAAAGTAAGGCTCATTACATGAATGAAGATCCTGCCAAAAAAAAAAAAAAAAAAAAAAA